CTGTTCTCAGCTTTACAAATGCCTTCTCGCAATCAGGCATCCACTTATTCTTTACTGGCAATTTCTTTTTTGTCAGATCAGTCAGAAGCGCTGCAATGTCAGCACAGTTAGGGATAAACTTACAGTAGGACAATGTCAACCCAATGAAAGATTTGAAATCCTTCTTAGTTTTTGGTTGCTCCCATTTTACTACCGCCTCTATCTTTGTCTCTATTTTTTAGGTCGCACTATCTCCTCTCCTACTACATACCCAAATAATGCACTTTGCTATGTGTGCAAAACTACAATTGCTAGATTTTAAAGTCAAGTTGGCCTGCTTGAGATTCCGAAATAGGTCTCTGATATGATGGACTTTCCCAATCTGGGCTAAACATCACTAGCCTTCTTTCCCACTCAACAGACGATCCACCATTATTTGAAATGTTGCAGGCGCCCCATGCAAGCCAAATGGTAAGTACTTAAACTAGTACAAACCCATAGATGTTGAGAAAGCTGAATATTGCCTTGACCTCTCTGTCAATTGAACTTGCCAGTAACCCTTACACAAATCTAACTCAGTTATGAACTTGGCTGGACCAAATCTACCTATAATCTCTTCTATTCTTGGCATAGGATATGCATCAAACTTGCTCAAACTATAAGCGTTTTTTTGTAATTTACGCAAAAGCGAGCTGTACCATCTGGCTTTGGTACCATTAGGTAAGGAGAAGACCAAGGGCTGTTAGACTCTTCTATTACCCCAAGTGCATCAAACCTCTTCCTTTACTCTGTCTAACTTAGCCTGTGGAAATGGATAAGCCTTTTGTCTAACTGGATGCACCTCTTGTTCCATTTCAATATCATGCTCTATGACTGTAGTTTTCCTAGGTCTATCTTTCAACACTGACTCATACTCCGAAAACACTCCAGCCAAATCTTGAAGCTGTGCTTCCTCCAACCCTTCACCATAATCTAAATCCAAATTAGAACAAGGACCCTTTGACCAATTAGCATCCATATCCTGATCATTTTTCTGTCCACTAACATCAGATATAGCTATCAAAGCCTCGATAGGTCTACGATGAAATTTCTTAAGGAGGTTGACATGGTAGACTTTTTTCTTTTGTCATTAGTTTCTACCTCATAGTTTCTCAAAATTCTGTACGGATCCTGTCACCACTTTGCCTCTAACGCATTGTTGCTAGATGGTAAGATCAACAAACGGACTTATGATCATACATTTGTTTCTACTTTTTCTAGCATGTACATGTTTTCTCTTACTAAATCTTTCATTGTGGCTAATCTATCTCTCATCTTAACGACGTGTGACACAACGCTCTGATAGCTTGTCACTGTGCCTGTCCACACTTCTTTCATTACATCAAGTGGAGCCCCGCACCTTCCAACCATACAACAACTCAAATGGGGAAAACCATGTGGAACTTCCCTATAAGCAAACAACAAATACGGAAGCAACTATATGTTGAACATTCTCGTAATGTAAGCAGTAGTTTACATGAACACATTGAGAGTTGTGAAGGTTTTAACCATATAATTGGTCTACATCTTATGACAGCTGACAATACATCCAAACAATCTCTTATTGAGTCCTTTTATATTTGAAAATATTAATATTATTCATGGTTCTCTACATTGGTCTGAAATTTTATTTGCTGAAGCTTAGCAATAAGAAGATACAAGCCTAGTCTAAACTATGGTCTCAGAGCCTCTAAAGAGCTTGCATTATTCACATAGCATAAGTGCTAACATGCTTTTGTTCTAAAATAATCATTTGTTTATCACAATCTTATTTTGTTTATCAATTTACTTAACAGAATTATCATTTGTCTCAATGTTCCGCCTACCTCTTTCTAATTGGTCAAAATTTATCTTGTATTGATTTTTGGTATGTTTGTCAGTATTTTTGGACTTAAACTATTCATTCTTGACAATGTTCCAATAAAGAACGAAACGTAGAATCAACTATGGCCTCACGTCTGTCATTTTTCGGAGTCACCATACTCATATTCTATTCCTAAGAACTACGCCACAAGCCTTTTCCCCTTCAACTCTTTCTCATCTCTAAGCCTATCATTCCTAGTCTGAGCCCTAGTTACGACCAGACTATGTATGTCCTGGCTCCTGTCACCGTTCTGTAACAACAGCTCAAAATTGGGAAAGTCCCTACTAAGAATTACGTCTTTAGGCAAATTATTGCTGATGCCTACCAACAATCTATGGTCTTCATTTCCCACCTTAATGTTTATATAAGCTGTAGGGTACAGTATGCTTGAACATGGTCATGGACACACCTACATATAAACTTCGCCTGGTCTTCACGATTGATTTTCTTAGGTGCAACTAATTCGGTATGGACAAGTATCATGTCACATCCAGAATCTAACAAAATTTCACTATCACCTCCTTCCACTAGGCCTCTACAATGGTAAGACGTATGCTGCACATTATCTGTATTTCTTGACAAGTAGGCGTCTTTACTACGACAGAACCTTTCAATATGACCTACTTTCTTCCAACGTCTACAAGCGAAGGTGGTCTAGTGTCAGACTGTGATTTGTGACTTTGATCAAATGATTTATTACTACTCTTAATTTATGCTTCAGCAGTACCCTTATCAGTTTATGCCTGATTATATTTGATTTGATTTCGAGGCTAATACCTCCTATCAAATTGTACAATTTTAAAAAATAATTATCTGCTCGTTCTGCAGCATTTAATCCTGATTTAGGTTTTTGCTCTTTAACCCAAATTTATACCCCAGTGGGCATAATTTCTACCAATTGTTCTGAAGTTTTTCTTTTTCTGCCAAATAATCTTTAATTTTGTCACTAGGTTTAGCCCACTTGGTAAATAAATAATTTAACTTTACATACATTTCTCTAATAAAATTTTTTCAGTTTTCTTTCTAATAGGCCTAAACATCTGTCGATATGTCTCTTCTGTAACATCATACCTTAGTAATATGGTTGCTGCTCGTGCCTTGCCCGTCAAGTGAGGGATCAAATTCACCACGCAATGCTCCTTACGCCACTCATAAGTGTTTGCGATTCGTTCAAACATGGTGAGGTAGTTCTCAATATCATCACCCTCAGACAACATTGCAATCTGAATCTCATTCAGTTTCATAATGTCTTTAAGACGTTTGTCATCACTTTCCTTTTGTTTATCCATCAGCGTGGTTACTAAAGCCATTTGCTTGTTCATTTCTTGCTTGTGTAAGCGCTCTTTTCATTCCATTCGTTCTTCTGTAATCGTTCTTGTTTCTTCATTTCTTCCCTGTGTTGCTGATTCTGGCTATATCATCTGCCGTTTCAGATCCTGCTGCTTGTTGCATGTTTTGCCGTTGCAGTTGCATTTGTTGTTGCATTTGCTGGTCCTTGTGCTGTTGCTGCCGTTTATTTGCTGTTGCATAATTAACAGCACGTCCTTTGTAGACAAGTCACTACCTGGGTTAAGTCAACAAGGTGCTACAGTGTTTGCTGTATCTTGTTCCGAATGATGTGACTGAACAGATTCTTCATCTGTGTCTGGTTGTTTACTTTTTAGCTATTGCTTATCATATTTGTATCTCTACCAAGATCCAGCCATTGTTTCCCACAGCATTGTTGTTTTTCAGTATTTTGACACTAATGAAGCCGTTAGCGAATTCGTGGACAGTGTTTTGCAACCTATTGTTCAGAAATTACCCACATATATTAAGGACACTAATGAAGCCGTTAGCGAATTCGTGGACAGTGTTTTGCAACCTATTGTTCAGAAATTACCCACATATATTAAGGACACTAATGAAGCCGTTAAAATGTTTGAAAACTTCGAATTTAAAAACGCTGGAGGATATATATTTACTATGGACGTTAAATCTTTATATACATCTATACCTATCAACGATGGTTTAGTCGCACTTAGATATTTTTTCGAGAAAGACGGTAACAAACCCCGTATATGCTCAGTGGACACTATAATTCGACTCTCAGAACTGGTCTTGTGTACTACAGCATTTGCCTTTAACCATAAATATTATCGCCAAATGTCTGGAGTTAGCATGGGTAGCAAAATGGCACCATCGTTTGCATGTCTCTTCATGGGTCATCTCGAACA